GATACTAAAGAGCTCCTGGGTCGAAGGGTAGCGGGCAGGAGAACCATCCACAGGGGTAAAGAACCCAAGGCCACTAACCCAAACTGTGGCAGCCCCTTGCTCAATGAAGCCCCCTATCTTCCATACACCTGCTGGCCCAGCATAGAGCACTGCTTCTCAGAGTACAATGGACACTGGAGTCACCTGAGAAGTCTTGTTAAAATGCAGGTCCTGATTCAGTAGGTCTGGCATATAGCCTGAGACTCTGCATTTCTAACAGGCCCCCAGGTAATGCCAATGCTGCTGGCCCAGGAACACACGGGGTGATTCTGACATCAGAATGCTCGAGTTCAAACTCCAGCTCTGCCACTTATTCTGTGACCCCGGACAGATTACTTTCATTACCTTCTCTCTCTGAGCCTGTTTCATCCTATACAAAATAGGGAGGATGACCATTTAAATGACTTCATAGAAAGACAGACAGAATGATTTCATGGGGGTAATCATAAGAATAAAATGAAACAGTGCAGGTGAAGATCTTAGTGCAGAGCCTGCAGTGCCCAGTACATGGCAAATATCTTTATACTCATGTGTCCGTTCAGCAAGTCCCTGTCAACTCCCTGCTATGCACTTGGCACTGCCCTGGGCCCTGCCGTAGAGCAGTGACAGAAACACAATCTCTGCTCTCAAGGAACTCACATCCGAGCAGAAGAAGACAGACCACAACAAGTGAAATGGATAGTATGTAAGTTGGTGCTAAGTGAGTTGGAGAGGAAAATAAAGCAGAGTAAAGAGGATAAGGAACGCTGGAGGTGGGGATATTGTTGTTTGTACAGATGGGGAAAGTGCCACAGGGAAGGTAACTTTGAGGTGACGGCCACACGGATAGCTGAGGAAATGGGCAGGAATGTCTGTGAGTGCAAAGGCCCTGAGGCAAGAGTGTACACGGTATGTGTGAAGAAGAACAAAGAAGCCAGTGTGGCTAGAGCCCAGAAAGTAAGGGGGAGAATAGTATGTGAGTGTGAAGGTAGCAGGGTTGATGCCACAGGGCATTGCAAGCATCAACTTTGGATTTTGCTCTGAGAGAAATGGGCGAACACTGGAAGTTCTGAGCATAAGAGCAACGAGATCTAAGTGACATTCTAAAAGGACAAGTTTGGCTTGTTGGGGATAGACTGCAGGGGCTCCTTCTCTACTCCAGACCACTGTAATCCCTCAGAGGAGAGAGGAGTGTGCAGAGACCCCTGGTAGCAGTGGTGGGAGAATACGTGTCGAATAAGTGTCACTCATGGGTAAAAACATAAAGCCATTTTCATTTTGTTTTCTATTGTCCTTTTAAATTGTCCTTTTAGTGGTGTTAATTCGTCCCCTTCCTCTGGATGAACACATAGCCAGGGCATGACTTCACTGGCCACTCCCAGGAAAGAGAAAGGTCCAAGGTGCTTCCCATCAGAAAGGATTTGGGGAGATCTCACCTGACTTTGTTCGTAAGGGTCCTTCCTGGGCCACGTTTCTCTTCCTTAAAAAAAGAAAAATGTTATTAGTTTTATTATACAAACAATGCATGTTCCTTGTAGAAACTTTAGAGATTATAGATAGGCACAAAGTATGACATAAACTGTCATAATCCTACTACTTAGAGAAAACCACTGCTGTTTTTCTATTCTTGTATATATCCTTCTAAGTCTTTTCAGTTCATGCAGGCCTCCCTATGTGCACACACACACACACCACATTTTTTACCAAAAATGGGTTTATACTTTATTTCATAACTTGCTTTTTTCATTTAACATTATATCATTAACGTCTCTTGATGGCATTAAATATATTTCAACAACATATTATTCTTAATATCAGTGGAGCATTCCATTTTATAGATGTGCCACAATTTATTTAACCAACTGGTGTCCACTTATGTTGTTTCTGATTTTTAAATATATATATCATAAATGACTCCATGATGAGTCTCCTTATAACTAAATCCTAGTGACCATCTGTAAGTTTTTCCCATCTTTTAAAGCATCTGATATGTATCACTTAATTGCCCTCAGAAATATTGTATGGATTAGACTCATATTGGAGTCGCTCATCTCCCCACAAACTCATCATCCATAAAAAAAAGAAAAAAAAACCTTCTTGGTCATGTTTAAAAGCTGATATTGATAAAAAAGTGTCAGGTGGGCAGAACCTTGCACCATTCTGCTCCATCACCTGCTGAAGGCATATTCTTCACCTTCTGAGTTCTCTAGAGTTGGAATTGGGGTTGGGCTTTCAGACTCATTGTTCATTCTCCAGAAGTGAGTTTTTTTTTTTTTCTGGTACGCGGGCCTCTCACTGTTGTGGCCTCTCCCGTTGCGGAGCACAGGCTCCGGACGCGCAGGCTCAGCGGCCATGGCTCACGAGCCCAGCCGCTCTGCGGCATGTAGGATCTTCCCAGACCGGGACACAAACCCGTGTCCCCTGCATCGGCAGGCGGACTCTCAACCACTGCGCCACCAGGGAAGCCCCAGAAGTGAGATTTGATTTCTGTTTGGTTGTGTTTTGATCTAATATAGAGGGAAGTACCAAAGAGTCCCATTGATCACACGTATAGGAGGGTAAATGACCTTTCAAACACTGAAGGGGGTTCAGGGAGGCTCTAGGGGTCCCTGGAGCCAGACAGGGCAACTCCCCTTAGGAAGATGGGTGGGTAACCCATTGTCATGGAAATGGATATACTCAGACCTGTTGCATCTGAGAGAGATGGGGCTCCCGTCAGTGGTAGTGGACACCTGAGCCCATCCTCACCCACCTTTTGGGGCTGGCTGCGGCCTGTGACCGAGAGATGGGAAGCTGTGAGTGGGGGTCATGCCAGGGCCCAGGGCAGTGATGGGAATGGATGACACAGCCTGGCCTCCTCCTGGGCCCAGCCCTGCCTGCCTAATGGCTGCCAAATGACGCACCCTATTGTTTCTCTGGTGACTGCTTGAGTCAGGGCCTGGGGCTGCAGCACCTGTTACCTGTGCGTGAGCTAGGGTGAGCCACTTACCCCTCACTCTGCTGGAATCAGACACCGAGGTTACAGGGTGGGATGCTGTGTTACAAGGGACCACTCTGTACTCTAGAACAGGCAGTCCCAATCCCCATACCATTTTTATAATTTCTTGTTGATTGATTTCCTAATATACACATCCTTCCTCCTCTCAGAACATTTATTTTTTAAAATCGGAGTAGATCAAAATTCATTTTATTGCAGACCTGGTTCTGACTGGAGGCGGGATGGAGAATTGAAGCCTTTTAATCTGAAAAACGCAGTTCTGACCTCATCATCATTGTTCTCAGAGCAATTTTTTTAAAGAATTGAATTCCTCTGCATGTGCTCTCATCTAACTCTCATTACACCCCCTTTGAATTAGGTGTGGTTATGCCCACGTTCCAGATGGAAAAGCAGTCTGAGAGGTGAAGTGACTTACCTGCGACCACGCCACTGATTCATGTCCAGATCCAGCTGACTGCCTTCTATCTCATCTTATTGCCCTTGGAAATACAGCTAGCCCCAGAGAGCCAGAGAGCACTGGCCCAGGAGTCAGAAAACCTGGGTTCTGGTCCTGGCTTTGCTACAAATGAGCTGTGTGCCTGAGGGCACCTCACTGCACCTCTCTGGGCCTCAGAATCCTCACTGTAAATTGAAGAGATTTGACCAATCTCTGACATTCCTTCTAACCGTGGGGCCTCAGCTCAGGCTTATTAGGCAGTAACAGAAAGCCACTCTGCTTAAACAGAAATGTGCACCTCGGTCCAAGGGTCCAGAGGCTCTCATGAAGCCAAGGCAGGGGCCAGCACCAGCCCAGCAGGGCCTGAGCCAGACAGTGGCTCTCCCAGCTCCCTCTGCAGAACTGCACGAGTCTCCACTTCTCTCAGTCCCTCTGTTTCATTCTTCTCTCTCTGCAAAGTGATTTATTTATTTTTGCTGTAGATCTGCGTCTTTGGCCAATGGTAGCAGAGGCCTCTTCAGCTCCCAATTATAAGTCCAGTTCTGGGGGCCAGCTGAGTCTCACCAAATTCCAATTTCAAATTCCCAGGGAAAGAAATCGATTGGGCAAGTTGAGTTGCCTGTCCACCCTGCTTGGATCAATTGGATGCTGCAGCACAAAGCAGAAATGGTGGCCCAGGTCAGGCCAATGCCCCCCAAGAGGCTCTGTATGCGGGACAGGAATAGCATCTTTGGGAGAAGACACAAGGTTAAGTATAATTCCCTTCCAGATGACATGACATTGAGACCTACAGAAAAAGCACAAGCTCACCAGCAAAGCTGGCCCAAGAGCACATTGGCAGGAATGGCAGGCTGTGGCTCCCCAAACATCCATTCCCAAGGGCAGACATGACAGCCAGGCAGAACTATCCCCCCCCCCAACACACAGTGTCGTCCTTCTGCTGCCTCTGAGTTGGATGACATGGAACTGGGGCACGGGGGAGCTTGGAAAGGGTCAAGGGGCAGGGACTGTAGAGACCACTGCCACCAGTCCTTGGGGGCTTGATTAGCAGTGCACGATCATTTGCACAAAAAAAAGACTCAGCACTTCAACTGATCCTGACAGCCCTGTGTCCTTGATGACCTTGTCTTAGTTCTTAAAACTGGCACGTGTGGGAATTCCCCGGCAGTCCAGTGGTCAAGACCCTGGGCCCGGGGGTTCCTCCCATTGCCCAACATACACGCGCGTGTGCGTGCACACACACACACACACACTCACACGCACACTTCTGGGATCACGCAGAATGGCATCTGATATCTTCAGGGCCTCCCTTCCTCTCTTTTGACCTGGGACATTTTCAGAACCAGGTGAAGAGGAGGGAAGCAGGGATGAGGGGGGAAGGATCATCCTTAGGAAGACCCTAAGGATGACCTGAAGAATTTTCCACTAAACCATCAGGAAGCAAGAAGGGAGGTTGGAGTCTGAAATACACTGATTTCAATCCAAAACAGTGACACTCCTTGCACACTCAAGTTTCAGGCTGATATTCAACGCTTTGACTCCCGCTTCGGCTTTAAATGAAGATTTTACTCTCTGGGTAGAGGGAGACAAGGGCAGGGTGGTATGCAAGAGGGCAGCAGGCATTTGCTGTGCAGCTCAAGGAGTGGGGAGAGGCTGAACCGGAGCCACTCATAGGTCCTGCGGTGACACTAAGTTGGAACTACGTCCTCAGTCACACAGGAGTTGAAGCACAGATAAATCAGAAAGCAAGTCCAGATGCCGAGGGTGAAACGGATGCCCAGGCCTGGTATGGAAGTTGCCTGTTATATGGGGAGAAAGTCAGGAGCCTGAGGCAAGGTCAGCTCAGCAGCTGGCAAGGCACCCTCCACTCCACAGGGGCCTCTAGGCAGCAGCCTCCAGGCTGGGCTAAGCAAGTCCTCCTTCCTGTGCCACGTCCTCTAAGACTGAGTGGATGTGATGTGGGGCAGAGCCTGCATAACCATAACCACGGGTGAGATTTGATGGGAATGCACCCCTGAGCACACTGCCTTTGGGAGGACGGGGCACCGGACTGAGATAAGGGGCTTCCATGGATCTACCTACCGCTGATTGTAGTTGTTCTTTGGGGCACACAACAAACATTTCTCCTGTGGAGGACAGAAACGGCACCAGAAAGATCATTTTTCCCTGGTCCAAGATGGCCAGGCTGCTGGGCACCTCATCAGGTCTTGCTATAGGAAAGGACAGAACAATACAGTTGCACTTGGGAACAGGTGCATCCAGGGTTGAGTCCTACTTGGTCATGGTTTCGGAATCACCCCAGGCCTATAGGGCAAGACCCCAGAGAGGACTCAAGACTAGGGAGGCATCCTGGGGCCAGGAGAGGAGTGGAACCAGTGCTTTACAGCAAGAGGTAAGAGAGTGAGAGAGCCCAGGGGAGGTCGGGGGGAACAGAAACCCAGGGGTGTAACACTGGGACAGGGGCAGGGAGGGCTTCATTACACAGCAGGTATCACATTGGTGAAGGGAATCCATTGGATCTTTTTTTGGTTGTTGTAGTGCCGTCATCTTTTTGTGAAGGGCAAGTGGTACTCCATCAGCTCCATCCATTTTCTTCCGCCGGATCTGTGGGTCTGTGTCCATCTTTCCTATCAGCCTGAGTTCTTGCTGCTCCTTTGGTCCACTCCTGAGAGGACTGGGGAGTCAGGGAGGGGCAGAACTGGGGAGATAATTTTCAACAGGAAAGGAGATAACCGGTAGCATGGTTGGCCGTGAAAGGCCTTGACTACAAGCCACTGGGGAAGAGAAACCAAGAGAGCTCCTTGAAGGGTCTGGGAGTCCACTGAACCCTGAGGACACTTCGCAAAGCGAAGGGAGGAGATTCTTTAGGGTTGAGGAGAGACGGGTGCAGGTTACCCTCACAGCTGGCTATTCTTCTGTATATTTATTAAAACATCCATCTTCTCATCCACATCCTTTTGCATTTCCTTCAAGAGAGGATTCAAAGCTAAAATCATCATCATGAAGGGCTTTTGAAGTCCCTTTTCCTGCCTCACTCTGCAAACCACTCAGAGACCACCGCAGCATCTTACTTCCTTAAGAATCCTCACCAGCCCTGGGTAGGGTGGCTCATCAGGATGTGCCTGACACGTGCCACCCCTCCCTGTGACCTCACCCATTCCATAGTGAAGCTGAAGCACAGGCAGAGTCATTGGGGGCTTGTCCAAAGTCTCCATGTGAGTCAGAGGCCAGGATCTATTTTACCTGATCTCACACTTGAATAAAACCCTTATCTGCCTTGGTTCAATGCCTATGCAATCTTCCCCGGTGGTGCAGTGGTTAAGAATCCGCCTGCCAATGCAGGGGACACAGGTTCGAACCCTGGTCCGGGAAGATCCCACATGCCACAGAGCAACTAAGTCCGTGTGTCACAGAGCAACTAAGTCCGTGTGCCCCAGCTACTAAGCCTGTGCTCTAGAGCCCATGAGCCACAACCACTGAGCTTGCGAGCTACAGCTACTGAGCCCCACACTCCTGGAGCCTGTGTTCCACAACAAGAGAAGCCACCGCAATGAGAAGCCCACGCACCACAACGAAGAGTAGCCCCCGCTCGCCGCAACTAGAGAAAGCCTGTGCACAGCAGCAAGGACCCAACACAGCCAAAAATAAATAGATAAAGTAAATAAATTTATAAAAAGAAAACAAACCCCATGACCTCCCCCCCAAAGACGTTTCTGACACCAGTGTTTTGACCCCTGCCATGTGCGTAGATCCTGTGTATCTGCGTTTGTTCCATATTTTACCCAACTCCTGGCAGAAATGGTCAACGCAAAATAAAGTAGACAGTAGCTCAAATGGCACCTCACATTTATTATTAAGAACTGAAATAATAATAAAATCTTCTTGGCGAATTTTAGATCTGTAAAATTGACCTGGAAAAATTGGATAGAAATAGTGGTCACAAAGAACTTCTAAGATGGTGACAGTATTAGTGACAATATCTGTTAAGGACAAAAACAGGGTTGGATTGAATATCACAAAATATAAATGAAGAATAATTTGCTTCAAGGAAAACCATTTTAATAAAAAATGAAAGATCTGGGGATAGTTTACTGATCTGGGGTAGAAAATTGATCAAGGAATTACACCGTCAGGATGGAAATGATTTCCAAAAAATATCTTCTTGAAAAGCATTTTAAGATGTTCGTATACATTTTGAATAAGACATTTGTATTTGTAAATAAAGTCAAATATCCTTGAAGTCAATATTCCCCCGGGTCCAAAACGTCAGAGTCAAAACGTCCCATATTCTTAAAAGTCTCACCATCACTTCAAACTCATCATGTTCCAAACTGACCTCTTCACTTTCTCTTCTAAATTAGCTGCTTCCCAACTAGCCTGTCACTGTCACCACTTTTTTCTAATCGTCCGGATTAAAACTTTGGTGTTATCATGCATGCTTGCCTCTCCTTCATTCTTTATACTGAATCAGTCACCAAGAATGTTATTTTTCCTTCGCTGCATCTTTCAGATTTACCCTTTTTCTTCTGTTTCTACACTTGGTCCAGCTTTCTTCACCTTGAGCAGAGATGCGGCTTCCAGTTTGATATTCTTGCTCCAGACGGCCCCCACCGACTCCCCCGGCGCCCCCAGGCCACCTTGCAAGCAGCTGCCAGCTCAGCTTTCTGAAGTGCTGCTCCTAGCATGTTCTTTGATTAAGAATCTCCAGGGGCCTCTTACTGCTTCCACGACCAAGTCCCAACCTGTCTGCCTGTCTTTCAGAAGCCTTCATTATCCACCGCCTTTGTGCCCATTCCATTTTATTTCTCAGTTTCCCCCAGTGATCCCTCTTTTATGACCGATCTCCCCACTGACTGTGAGAAGCTTCGCGTTCATCCTGCTTCCATGCTGTGTGCAAGCTGTTCCCGTGCCCGAAATAGCCTCCTTTGTGCCTTGTGATACCCAGTCCTAACCACTAACAAAACACTTACTGTGTTTGCATTTTGATATAGAAATAAGACATGCCCTTTGCAGAAAATTTGGACAATACAGAGGAATATAAAAGAAAAAATTAATCTCATCACCTTTCAATAACAGCAATTAACCCTTTTGGTATATTTCTTTCCAGTCTTTTTTCTATATATTTACTTACCAATTTCTTTTCACCTGTTGAGGTCAGCCTGTATATATTACTTGCATCTTGCTTTTTTACTTCTCATTAAAAGCATTCTTTCTAAATTCTGTCTCCTATAGTGAATTTTCATTATATAGATGTATCGTACTTCTTTTGGCTATTCCTTTACTTTTGAAAATTGTGGTTGTTTACAATTTTTTGCTATTATAAATAATCCTGTGATGAACTTCTTTTTATATATACCCATGCTGGCATTTCTGATTATTCTCATAGGTTAAATTCTGAGAAGTCAAGGAGTTGATAAGTCATAGAGTTTTGATATTTTTGATACCTATTGTCTAATTCCTTTTTAGTTTTGTACAAACTTGTACTCCAATCAGCAGTACAAGAGCATTCCTATCTTGCTTTATAATTGTCATAAATTACAACTTGGCTTATTTGAATGTGCCAATTATCTAAGTATTGTTTTCATTTGCAGTTATTTGATTACTCATGAGGTAAAACTTGTTAATATATTTATTGCTTTTTAGTAATATTCCCCTCTGTGGATTGTTCACATATACCCTTTGCCCATTTTCCTAGTTGGTTCTTATTGATTTGTGTGAGCTTTGTATGTTACAGATAAAAAGCTTTTTTCTATGTCTATCATATTTGTGGAAAATTATTTCTCCAAAACTGTTGCTTACTTTTTCACTCCGTGTATGGTGCTTTTGTTATAATTTTTAATTTTTTTGTATTGTTAAACATTAACAATATTTCCTTTGTGATTTCTTCCATTGTAATTATATTTAGACCATCCAGTTAAATACATTATTTTTATAATTCACTTTATATACTATTTCAGTTTATAGTGTTAACTGAGTTAAGCTTTTCCCTTACATAGTCAGGCAATATTCTTTTTTTTAAATTAATCTTTATTGGAGTATAATTGATTTAAAATGTTGTGTTAGTTTTTGCTGTACAGCAAAGTGAATCAGTTAAACCTATACATATATCCACTCTTTTTAAAATTATTTTCCCATATAGGTCATTACAGAGTATTGAGAAGAGTTCCCTGTGCTATACAGTAGGTCCTTATTAGTTATATACTTTATATATAGCAGTGCATAGATGTCAGTCCCAGTCTCCCAAATTATCCCTCCCCCCCACACCATTTTCCCCCCTTGGTGTCCATACATTTCTTCTCTACATCTCTTTCTATTTCTACCCTGCAAACCGATTCATCTGTAGCATTTTTCTAGGTTTCACATATATGCATTAATATATATTTGTTTTTCTCTTTCTGACTTCACTCTGTATGACAGTCTCCAGATTCATCCATGTCTCTAAAAATGACCCAATTTTGTTCCTTTTTATGGCTGAGAAATATTCCATTGTATATATGTACCACAACTTCTTTACCCATTTGTCTGTCGCTGGGCATTTAGGTTGCTTCCATGACCTGGCTATTGTAAATAGTGCTGCAATGAACACTAGGGTGCATGCGTCTTTTTGAATTATGGTCTTCTCTGGGTATATGCCCAGTAGTGGGATTGCTGTGTCATATGGTAATTCTATTTTTAGTTTTTTAAGGAACCTCCATACTGTTCTCCATAGTGGCTGTATCAATTTACATTCCTACCAAAGGTGCAAGAGGGTTTCCTTTTGTCCACACCCTCTCCAGCATTTGTTGATTGTAGATCTTCTGATGATGCCCATTCTAACTGGTGTCAGGTGATACCTCATTGTAGTTTTGATTTGCACTTCTCTAATAATTAGTGATGTTGAGCAGCTTTTCATGCGTCTTCTTTGGAGAAATGTCTATTTAGGTCTTCTGCCCATTTTTGGATTGTGTTGTTTGTTTTTTTAAATATTGAGCTGCATGAGCTCTTTATATATTTTGGAGATTAATCCTTTGTCGGTTGATTTGTTTGCAAATATTTTCTCCCATTCTGAGGGTTGTCTTTTCACCTTGTTTGTACTTTCCTTTGCTTTGCAAAAGCTTTTAAGTTTCATTAGGTCCCATTTGGTTCTTTTTGTTTTTATTTCCATTGCTCTAGGAGGGGGGTCAAAAAAGTTGTTGCTGATATTTATGTCGAAGAGTGTTCTTCCTATGTTTTCCTCTAAGGGTTTTATAGTGTCTGATCTTACATTTAGGTCTCTAATCCATTTTGAGTTTATTTTTGTGCATGGTGTGAGGGAGTGTCCTAATTTCATTCCTTTACATGTAGCTGTCCAGTTTTCCCAGCACCACTTATTGAAGAGACTGTCTTTTCTCCATTGTATATCCTTGCCTACTTTGTCATAGATTAGTTGACCATAGGTGTGTGGGTTTACCTCTGGGCTTTCTATCCTGCTCCATTGATCTATATTTCTGTTTTTGTGCCAGTACCCTATTGTCTTGATTACTGTAGCTTTGTAGTATAGTCGGAATTCAGGGAGTCTGACTCCTCCAGCTCCGTTTTTTTCCCTCAAGACTGCTTTGGCTGTTCGGGGTCTTTTGTGTCTCCATACAAATTTTAAGATTTTTTCTTCTAGTTCTGTAAAAAATGCCATTGGTAATTTGATAGGGATTGCATTGAATCTGTAGATTGCTTTGGGTAGTATAGTCATTTTCACAATATTGATTCTTCCAACCTAAGAACATGGTATATCTCTCCATCTGTTGGTATCACCTTTAATTTCTTTCATCAGTGTCTTATAGTTTTCTGCATATAGGTCTTTTGTCTCCTTAGGTAGGTTTATTGCTAGGTATGTTATTCTTTTTGTTGCAGTGGTAAATAGGGGTGTTTCCTTAATTTCTCTTTCAGATTTTTCATCATTAGTGTATAGGAATGCAAGAGATATCTGTGCATTACTTTTGTATCCTGCAACTTTACCAAATTCATTGATTAGCTCTAGTAGTTTTCTGGTGGCATCTTTAGGATTCTCTATGTATAGTATCATGTCATCTGCAAACAGTGACAGTTTTGCTTCTTCTTTTCCAATTTGTATACCTTTTATTTCTTTTTCTTGCCTGATTGCCATGGCTAGGACTTCCAAAAGTATGTTGAATAATAGTGGAGAGAGGACATCCTTGTCTTGTTCCTGATCTTAGAGGAAATGCTTTCAGTTTCTCACCATTGAGAATGATGTTTGCTGTGGGTTTGTCATACATGGCCTTTATTATATTGAGGTAGGTTACCTTCTGGAGTGGTTTTATCATAAATGGGTATTGAATTTTGTGCATCTATTTTCTGCATCTATTGAGATGATCATATGGTTTTTCTCCTTCAATTTGTCAATATGGTGTATCACGTTGATTGATTTGCGTATATTGAAGAATCCTTGAATCCCTGGGATAAATCCCACTTGATCATGGTGTATGATCCTTTTAATGTGTTGTTGGATTCTGTTTGCTAGTGTTTTGTTGAGGAGTTTTGCATCTACATTCATCAGTGATATTGGTCTTTAATTTTCTCTTTTTGTAGTATCTTTCTCTGGTTTTGGTATCAGGGTGATGGTGGCCTCATAGAATGAGTTTGGGAGTGTTCCTTCCTCTGCAATTTTTGGAAGAGTTTGAGAAGGATGGGTGTTAGCTCTTTCTCAATGTTTGATAGAATTCACCTGTGAAGCCATCTGGTCCTGGACTTTTGTTTGTTGGAAGATTTTTAATGCCAGTTTCAATTTCATTACTTGTGAGTGGTCTGTTCATATTTTCTATTTCTTCCTGGCTCAGTCTTTGAAGGTTATACCTTTCTAAGAATCTGTCCATTTCTTCCAGGTTGTCCATTTTATTGGCATAGAGTTGCTTGTAGTAGTCTCTTAGGATGCTTTGTATTTCTGCAGTGTCTGTTGTAACTTCTCCTTTTTCATTTATAATTTTATTGATTTGAGTCCTCTCTCTCTTTTTCTTCATGAGTCTGGCTAATGGTTTATCAGTTTTGTTTATCTTCTCAAAGAACCAGCTTTTAGTTTTATTGGTCTTTGCTCTTGTTTTCTTTGTTTCTATTTCATTTATTTCTGCTCTGATCTTTATGATTTCTTTCCTTCTGCTAATTTTGGGTTTTGTTTGTTCTTCTTTCTCTAGTTCCTTTAGGTATAAGGTTAGATTATTTATTTGAGATTGTTCTTGTTTCTTGAGGTAGGCTTGAATTGCTATAAACTTCCCTCTTAGAACTGCTTTTGCTGCATCTCATACGTTTTGGATCGTCGTGTTTTTGTTGTCATTTGTCTAGGTATTTTTTTATTTCCTCTTTTATTTCTTCAGTGACCTCTTGGTTATTTAGTAACATATTGTTTAGCCTCCATGTGTTTCTGTTTTTTACCTTTTTTTCCCCTGTAATTGATTTCTAATCTCATAGCATTGTGGTCAGAAAAGATGCTTGATATGATTTCAATTTTCTGAAATTCACTGAGGCTTGATTTGTGACCCAAGATGTGATCTATCCTGGAGAATGTTCCGTGTGCACTTGAGAAGAAAGTGTATTCTGGTGTTTTTGGATGGAATGTCCTACAAATATCAACTAAATCTATCTGGTCTGTCGTGTCATTTAAACCTTATGTTTCCTTATTTATTTTCACTTTGGATGATCTGTCCATTGGTGTAAGTGAGGTGTTAAAGCCCCTCACTATTATTCTGTTACTGTCGATTTCCTCCTTTACAGCTGTTAGCAGTTTCCTTATGTATTGAGGTGCTCCTATGTTGGGTGCATATATATTTATAACTGTTATATCTTCTTCTTGGATTGATCCCTTGATGATTATGTAGTGTCCTTCCTTGTCTCTTGTAACATTCTTTATTTTAAAGTCTATTTTATCTTATATGAGTATTGCTACTCCAGCTTTCTTTTGATTTCCATTTGCATGGAATATCTTTTTCCAACCCCTCACTTTCAGTCTGTATGTGTCCCTAGGTCTGAAGTGGGTCTCTTGTAGACAGCATATATATGGGTCTTGGTTTTGTATCCATTCAGTGAGCCTGTGTCTTTTGGTTGGGGCATTTAATCCATTCACATTTAAGGTAGTTATCGATACGTATGTTCCTATGACCATTTTCTTAATTGTTATGGGTTTGTTTTTGCAGGTCCTTTTCTTCTCTTGTGTTTCCCACTTAGAGAAGTTCCTTTAGCATTTGTTGTAGAGCTGGTTTGGTGGTGCTGAATTCTCTTAGCTTTTGCTTGTCTGTAAAACTTTTGATTTCTCCATCAAATCTGAATGAGATCCTTGCCAGGTAGAGTAATCTTGGTTGTAGGTTCTTCCTTTCCAGCACTTTAAATATATCATGCCACTCTCTTCTGGCTTGTAGAGTTTCTGCTGGGAAATCAGCTGTTAACCTTATGGGAGTTCCCTTGTATATTATTTGTCAATTTTCACTTGCTGCTTTCAATAATTTTTCTTTGTCTTTTATTTTTGCCAATTTGATTACTATGTGTTCTGGTGTGTTTCTCCTTGGGTTTATCCTGTATGGGACTCTCTGTGATCCCTGGACTTGGGTGGCTATTTCCTTTCCCATGTTAGAGAAGTTTTCGACTATAATCTCTTCAAATATTTTCTCTGGTCCTTTCTCTCTCTCTTCTCCTTCTGGGGCCCCTATAATGCTAATGCTGTTGCATTTAATATTGTCTCAGAGGTCTCTTAGTCTGTCTTCATTTCTTTTCATTCTTTTTTCTTTATTCCATTCCGCAGCAGTGAATTCCACCATTCTGTCTTCCAGGTCACTTATCTGTTCTTCTGCCTCAGTTATTTTGCTATTGATTCCTTCTAGTGTATTTTTCATTTCAGTTATTGTATTGTTCATCTCTGTTTGTTTGTTCTTTGATTCTTCTAGGTCTTTGTTAAACATTTCTTGTATCGTCTTGATTTTTGCCTCCATTCTTTTTTTTTTTTTTTAATTTATTTTTGGCTGTGTTGGGTCTTTGTTACTGTGCGTGGGCTTTCTCTAGTGGCAGCGAGCCAGGGCTGCTCTTCATTGAGGTGCACGAGCTTCTCACTGCAGTGGCTTCTCTTGTTGCAGAGCACAGGCTCTAGGCGCACAGACTTCAGTAGCTGCAGTGCATGGGCTCAGTAGTTGTGGCTCGAGGGCTCTAGAGTGCAGGCTCAGTAGTTGTGGCACATGGGCTTAGTTACTCTGCGCAATGTGGGATCATCCCGGACCAGGGATCAAACCCGTGTTCCCTGCACTGGCAGGCGGATTCTTAACCACTGTACCTCCAGGGAAGTCCGCAGACCTCATATTAAGAGGTTCTGTATAGTTGCTATGGGGTGCAGCCAGGTGTAAAGAGGAGCTGTTCAAATCCACAGTACAGGTGATTTCAGCACGTAGCCAATGTTAATAACTACTGCTAAAGTGCTAAGGACCTGGTTCTCATCAGGAGCAAGCATCTGAATCACTTAAGAGTTTTCAGCAACTGTGCCCAAACTTGGAGGTTTTTGTTCAGTTCATCTGGGCCAGGGCCTGGGTAAGTGGACTTTAGAAATCCTCAGAAGTGATTCTCAGTGCATCCCAGGCAGAGAGGCTGTTACAGGATTATCTATGTTGGCTTCTTCATTTGTCTGGTTATCCTTGGGCTGTACCACCTTAATTTGATTATGAAGTTGGCTTCATTATGATTTTAATATCTGGTAGAAGTAATGCCCCCTTACAACTCTTGAAAAATTTATAAATAAATGCTTTTTTCTATTTATGCTTCTGCATTTGTTGTTCTCAAACTTCTACCTGGGGAACATGAACAAAACCCCAGGGTGCCAGCCCCATCAACACAGGGCCTGAGCTCAGTTTCCTATATTTGTGCTCCTGGTGATTCTGAAACCCACCAAAGTCTGTAAACTGCTATTCTAGAATCTAGATGATCCTTTTAGTAATTATTGAGTTCAAAAATAATCTTACTGGGCTCTTGGTTAGATTCACATTAAACTTCCAATGCTGCCTTAAGACTCACCTTAAGGCTCACTTCCTCTAAAAGGACTTTTCTGGTTACCCCAACCCGCATTCATTACTCACTTCTCTAAACCCCTGGTTAGTTGACAATCAGTCATCATTTAGCTTGGTACTTACTTGTTATTTAATTCTTTTTGCAATAGAGTTTGGGTCTCTTATTAAGCTGTAAGCACTTGTAGGGCAGGCTCTGGCATCTCCTTGCATGATTCCTAGTATGGTACTGGCCCATGGAGGGCACTCAGTAAATGCTTACCTTCATAATCTCCACAAATTCCTGGAGTTTTTCAAAATCCTGGTCCATTACATCTTTTATCTAGTGAGGAAGAAAGGCAAAGAACACATTATTGAATGTGGAGTTGTCTTTCAGGCATTTTAAGCTAAGGGCTGCAGCTGCTCCCCTGGAATGAGCTAGATAAAGATTAAGGAATGTTCTAATAATGGCCTACTAAAGCCACTTTCTTCCCAAGAGTCTGTGAAGGGACTAGGGTGAGTGTATCATCAAGTCAACACCAGCAGCAGCCTTGGCACAGCTTGGATCTGGTCACTGCAAGGCTGCCATGTGGAGCTCAGACCACAGCTTCAATTACACGTTCTTCCTTGAGCATTTCCTTTGTTCATAAATATGCTATAGGTGATTCCATCAGAGAAACAAGAAGAGGATTCTTGCTCTGCAGCTTGCTCAGGGGAGGAGTATTAGGACAATGGAATTGGTCTCTGACTGCCCCCCAATTCCAGGTCAGCCCCTCTCACTCTGTCACTAAGGTTGTATCTCCCCACCCTTATCAATGAGATATCTTAGAGAGCCCTTATCATTCAAAATTTGGGTTTAAGCATCAAACAAGTAAGAAACAGATAACCTAAGCTGCTGACACTTAAGCATTCTAGGGGATGTGGGCTCAGTTGGTTTGATTGCTTTTTCCATGCAATTTCTGATTTTCTTTACTATTCAAAGTTAGGCATTGCATTTTCCTTGAAGCTACACTTTTTCTCCGTGAGCTGAAAAGTCTCATCCTGTTACCTGTTTTATCTCCTCCATTTTTTCCTTGAGCTCTTCCCTCACCTCCCTGAGTTCATTCTGAGAAAATAAAGTAGAGAAGGAGTAAAGAAATGTCTTGGATGGAAGGGAAACGGTCAAAAGGAGGAAAGGAAAGATCCTGGGGCATTGCCAAAAGAGGAGCAGAGGGATAGATGCCAGCAGGGAGGAAAGAAAGGATGCTATTAAGAAAATAGGATAGTGGGACACACAGACATCCTGTACCTCCAGATGTGATGCACTTTGAAAAGGTCATACTTTCACTCCTGTGGTGTGACCACCGAAAAATGCATGGCCTAAGTCTAATGGTGAGGAAGCATCAGACAACCCAGATTCAGGGTCATTCTACAAAATAAATGATTTGTCATCAAAAATGACAGTGTCCCAAAAGACAAGGTCGAAGAACTGTTCCAGACGAAAAAAGACTGAAGAGACATGGAAACTAGATGCAAGGTGTGATTCTGGATTGGATCCCAGACCAAAAAATTATCTTCTCTTTTGTTATGAAAGACATTAGTGGGATAACTGGTGAAATTAGAATAAGGGCTGTAGGTGAGAACTGTATCAACATTAATTTCCTGCTTTTGATGTTTGGATAATTGTACTGTGGCTGTGTAAGAGAGTGTTCTTGTTTTGAGGAAATATATACCGAAATTTGAGAGAACCACTTGCTCGCAGATGGTTCAGGAAATATATATGTTATATATAGGTGTGTGAATATGAAAGAGAGAAAAAAAACCCAAGATAAAATGCCAACATTTGGGAATCTGGGGGAAGGGTATACTAGAACTCATTGTACCATTTTTTGGAAAACATTCTGTAAGTCTGAAATTATTTTAAAATAGAGAGAACCAGAAGGAAAGGAGTCACAGGGGCTGGAGCAGAACTGTAGATGCCGGCAGTTCACCTGCTGCAGAAGTTGTTCTGTTGGCCCCACCTGTTCACTGTGCTGATCCAACTTCCTGTCTCCTGGGTCCACACACCTACCTTTAGCTCCTTTGTCCCTCCTGGTTTGGTAAATGGCCCTTCTTGTTTAGCTCCTTTGTAGTCATATGTCTGTTGGTTGGAAACAGAGACACAGAATATTGGAAACTGCAGGTGTGGGAGGGTGAGGCAGGAGGGATGACCCCGAGTTTCTGCTCCTCCCTTTGGGTCAGCGCAGAGGTAACCTGGCCTCACCTGTGCAGGAGTTTCCTCCATCCTTCTCTCCTCTCTGAGCTCATCTCATTCCACTCCCTTCCTGGCCCACTGGGCCTCAGCTTTCTGTCCCCTCCACAGACATACTCATTCCCATCTCAGGGCCTCTGGGCGCATTGCTTTTTCTGCCCACAGCACTCGTCCTCAGCCCTCCAGGGGCCGCAGGCTTGTCCTACAGCTCTCAGCTCAGAGGAAGGCCTTCCTGATGCCCTCAACCCCCAGCAGCCCCCGGTCACATCTCCCTATTTTAATTCCCTGCATCATAGGTAAAACTGCTGAATTTTTCCTTATTTATTTAGGTATCCGCTTTGTTCTTTGAGAGCAGAGAGCTTGTCTCTCTCTCAATATATCCGCCAGCATCTGGGACAAGTCTTGGCCACCAGGAACAGCGAATGACCCCTGACTCCAAGTCACCTCCCCATGCGTCTCAGGCCTGGCTGCCGGTATGGCCTCAAACAAGCTTCTTACTCTGATCAGCTCTGGCTTCAATTCCAGGCAAACTGCCTTGTAGTTCTTGTTCTGCAGAGACAGGAGGCTGGGATTCAGGCTGCCAGGCATCAGGACTGGGGAGGACCCTCCACCCACCCAACCCTGCCTGTCCAACTGCGCTTAAGCTCAGGCCCACATACCCCCAGCGCCTGAGCCAAGATAACTCACATTTTCTCATGTTCTACTCCTCTCATGAGTGACACCTGCCTGTTCGGCAGGCAGCCTTCTCCCTGGGGAGCTGGCGGGGGCGAGGGCTGGCGGGGACACTTTAAGGTAACTCAAGGAAGCCGTCTAAGTATTTTTTCAGGAGCATTGACTTTGGAGGTAGACAGACAGACTTGAATTCTAGTCTCAGCTGCCCTCCTTACCAGCTGTGTTGACTTAGGCACGTTATTTTGCTTCTCTGAGCCTTCACTTCCCCGTCTGTAAATTGTGGATGATAATTACCTTTATCTGATGAGGTTCTTGCGTGCCTTAAACACGCGGGTAAGATGCGGGCCTGGCTGGGGTCATGGCTCCGGAGTGGCCGGGATAGGGGTGGGGCATTTCGGTGCTCCTTTTCCTGGCGGGGGTCCTTCCCACCCCAAGCCCAGGGGTCCATTCCCCACCCTCCTTCCAGCCTGAGAGGCCACGTCATGCTCAGAGGTAGAAAGAAAAGCCGAGGGTTCGTTGGGGACTCTCTGTACCTCCCAACTCCATCCAGTGAGAGTTCAAAGAGGCCCCACATTGGCCAGCAAAGTTTCTCCTTTACCAGGTTTGTTTTCTTCAGTTCTGCCCTCTTGGCCGACATGATGGAGGAGGCCAGAGTGTTCTTCAACTTCCCAACCTCCCCACAATGGGTCCCCGGGACCAGGCCACTGCAGGTTACAGGCTGAGGTGAGGGCAGTATGCCCACCTCTCTGTGTGTGGAACAGCTGAGGTCACAATGCCCAGGACCTGCATGCCGGCCTGAGTGTCGCCACAACTTTGAGCCTGGGGTGCCTTGGCCGCTGAGAAGAGGACCTCAGGTCGGGTTCCAAAGCCACGAAGTCTCCCTCCTGCAAGGGGAGAGGGGCTGTCCTGGAAAGCCCACCCTGAAGGACCACAGCCAAGCACAAGACACGCCCCAGGAGAAGCAAAAATTGCCGGCTCCTTTCCCAGAGGGACTCACCCAAAGACCAGGAGGAGGTGTCTGCCCTCAACAACGAGCTTCTCCTGGAAGCCCACACACCTGCTCTCCTGACCCTTCCTCGAGCCTAAAGCTATTTTGGGTTGGGATGCCCTGAAGTCTCTCCGGTTCAAGGTGCACGTACTGTGCTAATCCGGGGCTCTCTGTGCTGGGGGAGGGGTGCCAGTCTCGGCAGGACGATCTCTGATGCCCAGGCCTGACTGCACAGCTGGCTCTGTCCCCTCTCCCCTCCTACACCCAACTCCATTCTTTTCTCCTGGTTTTTCTACTATCCTGGAAGAGCGTTAGGACAAGAAGCAATATGTGGACAGTGCAGTTGGTGAAAAGCCCAGATGACAGGCGACGAAGAATACTGAGGCCATCCTGAGGGTAACTATGATTTGTGTTTCGAGAGTCAAAGGGATGTAGCCTCCCCTGGGATCTAAAATTATTCAGCATCCATGTAGGTAAGCCTAACTCTGATGAGGGGCTGAATGCTGTCCTAGAAGCTGGGAGTTCAGCCTCTTTCTCCAGCCCTCCCAACAATTAAACCAGCTGATGTGGATTCCTTTTGTAACTAAGAACGTGACTGGTGAATGGAGATGGCCCCATGTTCCCGCTAATTGTAGGGCTTTGGAAAGTCACACACGTGCAGCAGTAGCTCCTGCCTGGTGACCCACAAGCATGTGGCCTATGGAAATGTTGGGGACTTCTATTTGGTGACATCCCGTGGGTTCTCAGGGTTGTTCATTTTAATTAGTGGCCATGCTAAAAGCAGATCTGATGCCTTATTATCAAGCCCCTCATCATTTTTTACAACAAGTGATTTCACTTGGCTGGTTCTTTGTAGCCAAACATCGCGCAGATACATTTTTTTTTTTTTTTTTGGGTGCAGATACATCACCTCGGATGACGGCCTTTACCTCACAAGAGCTTGCCAGCTCGTCGCCCTGTATGTTGGTTCTGCAGGGAGCGCTTTCTCCAGCAGGTCTGTTCCCCTGCTCAGGAGACTGAATCCACAAATCCACCCGGGCTCCACCCTCGCCTTGTTCCTTGGGGCCACTGGCAGCTCCCCGCTCCACCCCCTGCTCCTGTCCACATGGCTCTGGGGTGTCCCTGGGCCATGTGACAGACTAACACTTTGAGAAGAACCCTCTGGGCCCTGGGCTCCACTTGAAGTTGAGGAAGGAGGCGTAAGTGACACCGCTCCTCTGGGTGGCAAAACTCGTGTGAAAAATCACTGTCTGGGAAAGACAACGTGGGTGGAATCGAACACGGAAGCAGACCACAGTCGCTTGCCGAGCCTTCTAAACATAAGCGTTGATGCATTTCTAATTCTTGATCAAAACAAAGCAACCCCGTTCTTGTGACAGAATAAAACCTGTGACAATAACAAGCCATGCAGAGAGTCGTGAATCCCAGGGCCGGCCTGGTTCTCCACGCCACCACTCATTGGCAGGTCACCCTTATCCAGGCTCAGGGCCAGGCTGGGTCTTAGCAAGGAGCTCTGGGTCACTATGCAGGGGACTCCACAGCAAATCCCCTGCTGGTTCAACACACGTTTACTGAGCCTGACTGTGTGCCAAGCACTCTGCTAGGCACCAGGAGCACAAAGATACCTGGCGTGGCCCTGGCCCTAGGGACTCATCATTGATGGGCTGACAGGGCATCATTAGAATCGCACTTACAATATGGTAAGTAAGCTCAGGGTGCTGAGAGCCCAGAGGAGGTGCATGACCCAGTTCTCAGAGCTGGCTTTCTCCCATGTTAACCTGGCCTTGTGAGCTTCCCAGTACCCTTCACGTTAGACAATTTTTTCTCTAAACCCAGTGCAGGAGGCGGGGGTGGGGGGTGAGGGGGAATGCTACCTACCACATGCCAAACTTTCCCATTGCCAGTGCCTGCCTGGGTCTCTGAAGATGACACGCTCCCCCCATATCAGTGGAACCATCCCCTCCATGCTGAGCTCTGGACGGTGAGTGTTTACCTGTCTCCCGTGTATCAAATGGGTCTTCCTTCCAGCAGAGAGAGTTGCTAGCCTGTCCCAGCAGGTGTATTACATACCAAATCAGCCTTCTCTATCTGCTCCATCTGGCCCAAGTTCACCTTTACCTGGCCTTGTTACTCTACACAGCAGCTGGAACTGGACTTAGATCTACATATCCTCTAACAACGTAGAGCAAGAAGGTGTCCTCCGAGCTGTGAGTGTGTCAGGCTGATACTGCATCACGTCGCAGTGTCTGCAGGTAACACATGCCCGTTCTCAGAGGTCCTGTGGGTTCCTGCCTTGGGAAATAATGGGATATCCATAAATGTAACAAGCCTTGGGTTTTGTATGTGGATCTCCCTCAGCTCCCAGCACTCAGAGAATTGGAAAAATGGAAGCCCCAAAGTCCACACAAAGGAGACTTTGCAGTACGACCTGGTGTCAGTGAGATTCCTTTTGCTGACGGCACTCAGTAAACTTACCTGGCCTCTGTCCTGCTGCTCCCTGCCAGGCCCCACAGACACTCAACAGGCCTTCTCTTCTGCCTTCTACTTGGTTACTTGTATCAGGGTTCTCCAGAGAAACAGAATCGATAGGATATCTGCCTATCTATCTATCTGTCTAACAATCAAGAGATTTATTTTAAGGAAGTGGCTCACATGATTATGGAGGCCAAAAAGCCCCAAAATCTCCCATCTGTAGCTGGAGACCCAGGAGAGCCCATGGTGGAAGTTCCTGTCTGAGTACAGAAGACTGAGGTCCCAGCTGTAAAACAGAGAAAGAATTATTTCTTGCTCAGCCTTTTATTCTACCCAGGCCTTCAGCAGATTGGATGGGGCTCACCCACATTAGGGAGGGCAATCTGCTTTACTCAGTCTGCCAATTCAAATGTTAATCTCATCCAAAACACCCTCATAAATATACCCAGAATAACATTTAACCAAATTCAGCTGACCCTTGTGCCTGGGTTTGGATTGCACAGGTCCACTTATACGAGGATTTTTTTCAGAAGAAATACTGCAGTCCTACGCTATGCGCAGTTGGTTGAATCTCCAGATGCGGAACCGTGGATACCCAGGCTGACTGTAAAGTAATATGCAAAGTTCTGACTGTCCGGGGGTCGGCACCCCTAACACCCACGTCGTTCAAGGGTCAGCTGTACCCTGTGACCTCGTCAAGCTGATATGTAAAAGTAACTATCATATTACCTGTCTCTGCTGCTTTCTTGACCCATGTCCTCATCTTCTGGAGCACAGCCTGTTTCCTTCCTTGAGTCGTGGCACGTGAGGCCTGATCTCATGGTAACTGACCTCCGGCTTGGCCTCAGACGCTCGCCCCTGGCTCTTTGGACACCAGATCCCTCCTTCTTCCCTTTGTCCTTTGTTGGAGAGCTTTCTCCCACGCCACTTGCTGTGGCTGGTGGTTTCAGGGCAAAATCTTCCAGGAAGAGGGCTCTCTCTCTCTCTCTGCTCAGCTTTATGAATCAGTCCCTGCCAAGGGGTCACCCCTCCTCCTCTGCTCACTCGTGGTGTTTGTCTCCTGACACCCATCTAGTGGGAGGGTATTTGTCCATACCCTCCTGATGTCCTGCTCTGCCAGGAGGGAACACCCTATTTTTCAGATTCCCTTGCGCAGCCCTTGGCCGTGGCCGCACCCCATCTCGGCCCCTTCTGAGCTCATTCTCAGCTCGGAGCATGCCCCCAGCCTCTCCAGTCTCCTGCCTCCCTAGCCTGTCACACTGCTTGGTTACTGCCAAACAGGTGCATGGACGTGTGGGGCTACGGCATGATTTCCCTGTGGAAGGGCAGGGTAGCGCAGGTGTGAAGACATTGGCTACCTGTGATTCCTTGTAGTTTTGTTTTGCATTTCCCTAATGATTAGTGATATTACACATCTTTTCATGTTCTTACTGGCCAACACATTTACTTTTTTTTTTTTGCGGTACGTGGGCCTCTCACTGTTGTGGCCTCTCCCGCTGTGGAGCACAGGCTCCAACACATTTACTTTTAAAGGAATAAAGCATAATTTAAAAAAAAAAAGATCAGTTATTAAAACAGCACTTAAACAGAGGGGGGAAAATAAATGAAAAATTTGAGCAGCTGTAGTTTAGAATCCAAGGGTTCATGTTCCCCGTGAGGTCCCAGGAAGATTGTTTCTTCAGGATTAAGGGAGCAGGGCTGGCTGCCCAGTACGGTGTGCTGTTGGGGACCCAAGGAAGCGTCCGAGGAAGGCTCCAGTGACCTGCCCCAGGAGCTCCACTGCTTCCCCAGCTGTGTGGGGATCTAGAGAAGCTAGCTGTAACAGAACTTTTCCCTCGAGCAGGAATGGCCCCATGAGGCATAATTGTCTTCAACAGTTCATGTCCACGCTGAGAAAATTATCATGCATTGTTGGTGGGAGTGGAAAATGATATAACCCCCCTGGAAGAGAGTTAGCGGTTTCTTATAAGCATACACTTACCATATGACCCAGCAATCCAACCCCTAGGCATTTACCCAAAAGAAATAAGAACATATGTCCACACAAAGACTTGTTCATGAATATTCACAGCAGCTTCATTCATAATGGCCTCAAACTGGAAAACAACACCACATCTGCCAGCGGGAGAATGAATAAACAACTTGTAGTATTTTCCTACAATGGAAGACCCTTGGACAATAAAAAGGAGTTAACTACTGATACATAGGACAAGATGGGTAAATCTTACAGATGTTTTACTGAGTGAAAT